ATACATGACTACTAGAAAAATCATAGCTTTGACTAGATGGACCTTCATCAGCAAAGTGATGCCTCTGCCTTTTAATATGCTGTTTACGTTTCTCATAGCTTTTCTTCCAAGGAGCAAGCGTCTTTTAATTTCATGGCTGCAATCTCTGTCTGCAGTGATTCTGGAGCCCAAGAAAATAAAGTCTGTCACTGTTTCCACTGTTTTCCCATCTATTTGCCATGAAGTGATGGGACCCAATGCCATGATTTTATAATGCATCAGTAGGGGTTGATTAATTATGACAAATGTGCCATTTAATAACAGGAAAAACTAGGTATGGGGTGTGAAGAAACTGTCTGTACTATCTTTGCAATAATCCCATAGATCTTAAATGTTCTAAGACAACTTTTTTTTTTAAAAAAGGGTAACTTGAACAATCAACAACCTCAGATACGCAGATGACACCATCCTTATGGCAGAAAGCAAAGAAGAACTAAAGAGCTTCTTGATGAAAGTGAAAGAGGAGAGTGAAAAAGTTGGCTTAAAACTCAACATTCACAAAACTAAGATCAAGGCATCCAGTCCCATCACTTCATGGCAAATAGATGGGGAAATAATGGAAACAGTGAGAAACTTTATTTTTTTGAGCTCCAAAATCACTGCAGATGGTGACTGTAGCCATGAAATTAAAAGACGCTTGCTCCTTGGAAGAAAAGCTATGACCAACCTAGACAGCATATTAAAAAGCAGAGACATGACTTTGCCAGCAAAGTCCATCTAGTCAAAGCTATGGTTTTTCCAGTAGTCATGTATGGATGTGAGAGTTGGGCTATAAAGAAAGCTGAGCACCAAAGAATTGATGCTTTTGAATTGTGGTGTTGGCAAAGACTCCTGAGAATCCCTTGGACTGCAAGAAGATCAAACCAGTCAATCCTAAAGGAGATCAGTCCTGAATATTCATTGGAAGGACTGGTGTTGAAGCTGAAACTCCAATACTTTGGCCACCTGATTCGAAGAACCGACTCACTGGAAAAGACCTTGATGCTGGGAAAGATTGAAGGCAGGAGAAGGGGACGACAGAGGGTGAGATGGTTGGATGGCATCACCGATTCAATGGACATGAGTTTCAGTAGGCTCTGGGAGTTGGTGATGGACAGGGAAGCCTGGCGTGCTGCAGTGCATGGGGTTGCAGGGAGTCGAACACGACTGAGCAACAGAACTGAAGTGAACTTGAAAAAGGGCTGCCTTACCAAAACTCCCTACTCACACATCATACCTAAGGCAGCTATCTTATCAGGGCAAAGGAGTTTTGGCTTGGAACATCCATGGAATGGGCAAGGGTATACAGGGAGGTGATGCAACCTAAGGATCCTGATCTCCAAAAGACTGTGAAGCAAGTACCGACTGAGTCAGGCATCGAAACACCACTACTGATCTTAAGGTAAAGTCCCTTGAGGAACCCTCAAACCACATGCAGATTTGAGGCCACTGCCCACATTGCCTTGGGGATATAGAAGATTTAACCTACATCTCAGATACGACTGTGACAATGAGAATCTTAATAGTCAGGATACCTTAGTTAGGCTGTAACTAAGGAACTCTCAACATGACTGGCTTACACAATAGGAATTTTTGAAACTTCGTTTATTTATTTATTTTTGGCTGTGCTGGGTCTTCAATGGCCAGCGGGGCTACTTTCCCGTTGCGGCGCTCGGGCTGCTCACTGTGGCAGCTTCTTCTGCTGCGGAGGACAGGCTCTGGGTGCACCCAGAGGTTCCAGCAGCTGCAGCACATGGTCTCAGCAGCTGCAACTCCTAGGCTCTAGAAGACAGGCTCAGTAGTTGTGGTTGCACGGGCTTAGTTTTTCTGAAGCATGTGGGATGTTCCCGGGTCATGAACTGAACCCATGTCTCCTGCACTGGCAGGCAGACTGTCTACCACTGAGGCACCAGAGAAGCAGGGAAGCCCCAGGAATGTTTCTTTATTTCACATAACAAATGCCAATATACTATTTTAACACTCCACTCTGCCAAATTCAGTGCCTCAGCCATTCCTTAGCTAACTTTTCTGGCACTCTGGTTACCCTAATTTCAGGCATCACATGGTGAAGCAACAACATCTGGCAAAAGAGACCAACCGCCTCTTCAAATGTGACTCTTTGAAGAGTACTGCTCAGGTATTTTGTAGAATGTCCCTGAATGTGAGTTTGTCTGATGCTTTCTTATGATTAGACTGGAGATTTTTTATTTGGGGGAAGAATATCACTGAGGTGCAAGTATGACTCTTTTAAGGAGCAACGAAGCTTTCCCTAGCAACTCACTAGCCAGCCCCTTCCTAAACTAAGCACCGGGAATAATGAAATTACCGTAATCAGTTCAGACCAATCAGGACACAACCCTGAGTCATCAGGTAGGATATCTACCAAACCAAGGGTGTACAAATGACTACTGAAGGGGTCAGCACCAGTGTGTGCTTTAGGTAAAAACCCTGAAAGGCAGAGCCTTTACTTTAAAGAGACTACACTAACATGAATAAACATTAAACAAGTCTAGTTTAAAAAGGAAGATACTTTTAATTGTCAATTTACTTGGTTCTCCAACATTATCACCATCCAGAAGTATTTTAGGTCATTTACACACGATAAATCTATCTTCTCAGCTCCTGAGGGAGTAGCAGGAATGAAGGAAACACCTCTAAAAGACAAATTTCATCTACAGCTCATCTAGATACCTAGGGCGACACTTCCCAAACCAGTGTGCTTTGCTACATTCTTCTGCGCCATGGCAACAAGCTGGCTGTGAAAACAGTAATCAGTGACCAAATTAACTGATAGAGACTAAGTTAAACAAAATGAAACAGGCTTCTTTACTAACACATCTCTCAGAGCCTTTATATGCTAGCAGGATTATAAACTTGAAGAGGAGAATATACTACATACACTGTTTAACATTTTCCTCCCAAAAGAAGGTTTTCCTTTTTTGTCCTGACCATCTATGAACAATTTCTAGGAGAGTATTCTGTTTAACACCACCTTGAGAAATACTGCTGTAAGAGGAAAACAAAGACTCAAGAATATAGTTTATTATTATTAGACAGTTGGGGGGGGAAATCAGCAAAAAATAAGTATACTGAAGAAGGTAGGAAGCAAATCCACAGAATTCAATGATAATGAAGCAAGAAAGGAGATAGTTCCCAAAATGTCAGAGACAATCAATTATTGAGAAATTGAACAGAATAAGAATAAAAATGCTTTTTGATTTGACCAGGAAGACTGCCATTTCTGACCTTGAAGAAAATAGATCACATTGCATAGGTCATAAGTTAATAATATAGCACTTACCTCAAGTGCTTCAGAAAAGAGAAGGAAAGAAGGATGGTATACAGAATGAAAAAAATTAGGATGGGGATGAAAAAAGAAATGCATGAAACATTTATAGACCACCAACAACTAGAGTTTATCAGTGAAAGTAAAAACAAAGACATTGGTTGATTGGGAGACTGGAGTATATGGAAGAATACAAAAAATTTTAGAACAGCGAACACCTATATGTGGTTGAAGGTAAAAATGAAAACCTACTGAAAGAAACTGATAATCACAGTCCAGTAGATGGAAGAAATGGAATCCAGAGTATAAATCACTAGAAAAGATTTATCTTTCTTTCCAGATTGTAGAGAATTTGAATAGTAATACCTAACTATTCAAGTCTGAAGATCTCCTTTAATACTCCAAAATTTCATGGATATCTGTTTATTCCACCCCAGAGAACTTCTCAGTCTACAGAGTTCAGTATGTAGTATAAGTTTGCTGATCTGTTGCTCCTCTCAGAAGCTATGTTATGGTGAAAGTGTAGGCTACTGCCTCAAGTGCTTCTGTGGGCCTCAATCTTCGTGAAATAAGAAACAAAGTAGAAGGTGGTGACAGTAAGGAAATTGGGAGCTCAGGAGATTTTAATTTATAATGATTAACTATAAATAATTGGCATACAAAATAAAAACTCATAATGGGAACTCACACACACACACAAAAACACTGTGATGATTACCAAAAGAGGGTCCAGAAAGAAAGGTATCTACTATACTTATCCCATCCAGAAATTTTCACAGGTCTGGTATATCAACAAAAATTGCATAGGTCATAAGTTAATAATATAGTTCCCAATATGCTGGTGAGAACAAAGACTACTCAGCATCGGTCTAGTTACAGTCTAGCTTTAAACTTTCGCAATTTAAACTTAGTATGGCTTTCCAACACTAACCCTAAAAGTTAAGCATACAAAATTGTATTTTTATTTCCTTCAAGATCAATTAGGACAATGACATGAGATTCTGTTGCTTAGAATGTTATTTTTAGAGTCTATCTTTTGGGTTAATTTCACTAACAATTCAAACTGAGTACATAATTTTGGATTATCTATGTCCAAGTCACAAGTGTGGCTCATATATGGCTCCACAGCCCACCTATAAAAATATTTTTATCACAAAAAAAGGCAGTAATTCTTATTCTTTAACTGCTTAATACATAGCCCTGTAGAGATTTACGAGAAGTTAGACTGCTTAAAAAATATATGGTGATCGCCATAAGTAGAAGGGTTAGAGGAAGCCACATTCTTTAAATAAAGAAATTAATAATGATCAGTGCGCATGGAATAAAGGATAGGGCAACAATACTCACACCAAATCCGGCAGTCTCTAACCCTGTGTATCTGTAGACGTAAGGCGGGCGGCCACATAGACGGGCCAGATCATCACGACTGCCAGCTCAGCAGCCCGGCTTGGGGAAAAGGCGGCATCCACGGAGAGGCCACCCTTGAGAACCAAACACTTACAGTTTCGTCTGGAAGGGACCGCAAAACGTGGCCGTGGCGAACCAGTTAAAGTCTGACAGAAACATGGTTGTGAGCGGCAAGGGAAGCCTCCAAGGCAGCGACTCTGGAAGGCAGAGGCGGCCACGGCCGCGCGAACACCCCCGCCACGGAGCTGAAGGAAACTATGGGGGCTGGCGGAGGCGGCTTCGTGCTTACCTTGTCATCTTCGCATCTCTTCCCCAGGCCCTCCCGGGCCTGCAGCCGGCTGCTAAGGCGGCCGTAATCGGCCTCCTTCTGGTCAATCTGTTTCTTGTGCGAGTCCACCAAGAGCAGGAGGTCCGAATTGCGCTTCTCCAGGCGCCCGCGGGCCACCTCGGTGCGCTGGACCTGGCCCTGCAGCTCCGCTACCTCCTCCTGCAGCAGGACGTGGCGTGAGGAGATGCTCCAGTAATTGAAGGCGAGCACCGCGATCACCACTAGCAGGACCGCCAGAACCAGGGAGGGCAGGCGGCCGGCCCGCCGGTTCGCCCCGAAGCCCACCATGGGGCCGAAGCAGGCCGCGCCCCGAGCTTCGGCGCCGACACCTGAGGGCAGACGCTCAGGCCGCGACTGACGAGTTGCCCGGGGGACGCGGCCCCAGGGCCGGCCGACGCGGGAGGCCGGCGGACGCGCCCGCCTGCGAGCCGGAGAAGGGGGCGGGGCCGCCAGCCGCAAGCCCCTCCCCGCCCCCCTCTTCAAAGCCGGCCGAGGCGCGTTCCCTAGGCTTTCCTCCGGACCCTGCACCAGCCGGGCGGAACCCGGAGAACCCGGCGCCCGCACCGCAGGCCCGACACCTCAGGGTTAGGAGGCGGGGAAAGAAGCCGGAAAGGGGTGGGCTTAATTCTGGCCCCGCCCATCGGCTGGTCCGGGTCGCCAAGGGAGCCATTTCCTAGTTTCCGTCGACGCCCCCTCTTCTCGCGAGAAACTGGACTTCTCTCGCTGCTCGCTCTGTGGTCTCGCGAGGGTTCTCTCTGGGTGAAAGTGTGTGGTCGTTTTGGCTGTCTGGACGAGCTCTTGTACCTGAACCGGAATCCCTTCGGCTTTTACCTGGTCGGTACCCTTGACCCACGGTCTAGGCCCTCTGAGTTTTCGGTTTTGAGGACGTCTGAGGCTGCGACCGCTATGTAGGGAAAACTTAGGTGAGCTGCGGGCAGAAGGGGAGACAAGAAGGATCTTGTACTTCCTTCAGTAGATTTTCTCGCTTGTGCCGACATTGTGGAGAGAAAACAACCACCAAAAGAAAACGACCATGAAATAGCAGTGTCCCAAATACTACGGAGATAAGCAAGAACTAGAACTAAGCTTCATAACTGAAAGGGGTGGTGCCAGCCTGGTTTCCCAGATTACTGCTTTCACTCTGAGGGAAAGAGCTTCAGAAAGGCTGAGCTTTTAGAAACTGTTCCTAAACTCGCTGCTACATTTGCCTCGAGCTAGGCTTCCAAGTAGAAAGTCCGGAAGCTGCCCGCAATGAATAATAACACAGTCTGTTACTGATGGCAAGCACATTCTAGGAGAGAAATAATAGCTCTTTTACGAATTGCTTCTGCATGCTTGGTGGTTGTTTAGTCGCCAATTCGTGTCCCATTTTTTGGGACCCCATGGACTGTAGCCCTCTAGGCTCCTCTGTCCATGGAATTTTCCAGGCAAGAATATTAGGAGTGGATTGCCATCTCCTGCAGGGAACCTTCCTGACCCAGGGATTGAACCAGTGTCCCCTGCGTTGGCAGACAGATGCTGTACCATTTGAGTCACAAGGGAAACCGTTTTCCGTGTTATCCACTCAGCAGCAGTTTTAGGGATGAGGAATCGAAAACACAGAGATGTCCCAGAAACTTTCTCAAAGTCCCCTATCTTGAGCCAGAATTAGGCTTGAATTCGGGTCATTGGTGTCTAACATCATTGCTCTTTGCGTTATAATAGGCTTCCAGGCTAACTGTTGGTATATGTTCAGCTTTAATTAAAGTGATGCAGAAAAATCCCCTACTTCTTTTTGTTTTTTCTGCATATTTACTTTGCCCTTGCATGAAAGTTTTAAAAGTTATTTACTCTATCCTGTTTAAGGAGAATGTGGTGCTGATTTATTTTTTTCAGACCTCAGGTTCAAGATCATACATGCACATAAAACCCTCCAAATGCAAAAACTTTGGTATTTTCATTGAGATCAGGGTGATATGATTCTGAGGCAGGAAGACTTGTCATAGAATAATTATTCTGTGCTTCTACCTGCCTAATAGTCCTAGAGTAGCCTGGAAATATCGAACCCTTTAAGAGTGATGATTTCTCTCCCACAGATACAAAAAATAAAAACACCAAAATTATTAATATTTACTTCACGTCAAGCTTGAGTCATTTGCTCTGGTTTCATAAGATCCAAGAAAGGACAACCTCGAAGGACAACCAGACTTTGGCAAAAAAAAAAAAAGCAAGATAAAAATGGGAAATCCTTGATTATAATGGATTCACCTGTCCTTTCCTCGATTTCATATTGGCCTTGCTTTGCTTAGCCTACCAATTTAAAATTAATCTGTAAAGTGATGTTAGCTGCTTAACATGTTACTCTTTCTTTATAGAAACTTGTCATTTTTATATGAGATTCTGGCATGTAAAAGTATGTTATTACTTTCACATTCACATACATTTTTTCATCAGGTGCTTAACTCTTTGCTAGATATGGAAGTAACTTGCCCAGAGTCATACATCTAGTAAGTGGCAGGGCTGAAGCTGGAAAACCAATCCTCTTTCCACCCTTCCCCCAGGGAAAAAAACTTCTTTTTAATCTGCTTTAATGGTTACCTCTTCAAGCTCTTCTCCCTATTTAGTTCAGTTCAGTTCAGTTCAGTTGCTCAGTCGTGTCCGACTCTTTGCGACCCCATGAATCGCAGCACGCCAGGCCTCCCTGTCCATTACTAACTCCCAGAGTTTACTCAAACTCATGTCCATCGAGTCGGTGACGCCATCCAGCCATCTCATCCTCTATTGTCCCCTTCTCTTCCTGCCCCCAATCCCTCCCAGCATCGGGGTCTTTTCCAATGAGTCAACTCTTCGCATGAGGTGGCCAAAGTATTGAAGTTTCAGCTTCAGCATCAGTCCTTCCAATGAACACCCAGGACTGATCTACTTTAGGATGGACTGGTTGGATCTCCTTGCAGTCCAAGGGACTCTCAAGAGTCTTCTCCAACAGCACAGTTCAAAAGCATCAATTCTTTGGTGCTCAGCTTTCTTCACAGTCCAACTCTCACATCCATACCTGAAAAACCATAGCCTTGACTAGACGGACCTTTGTTGGCAAAGTAATGTCTCTGCTTTTTAATATGCTATCTAGTTTGGTCATAACTTTTCTTCCAAGTAGTAAGCGTCTCTTAATTTCATGGCCACAATCACCATCTGCAGTGATTTTGGAGCCCCAAAAAATAAAGTCAGCCACTGTTTCCACTGTTTGCCCATCTATTTCCCATGAAGTGATGGGACCAGATGCCATGATCTTTGTTTTCTGAATGTTGAGCTTTAAGCCAACTTTTTCACTCTCCTCTTTCACTTTCATCAGGAGGCTTTTTAGTTCCTCTTCACTTTCTGCCAGAAGGGTGGTGTCATCTGCATATATGAGGTTTTTTATATTTCTCCAGGCAATCTTGATTCCAGCTGTGCGTCATCCAGCCCATTGTTTCTCATGATGTACTCTGCATATAAGTTAAATAAGCAGGGTGACAATATACAGCCTTGACATACTCCTTTTCCTATTTGGAACCAGTCTGTTGTTCCCTGTCCAGTTCTGACTATTGCTTCCTGACCTGCATATAGGTTTCTCAAAGAGGCAGGTCAGGTGGTCTGGTATTCCCATCTCTTTCAGAATTTTCCACAATTTATTGTGATCCACACAGTCAAAGGCTTTGGCATAGTCAATAAAGCAGAAATAGGCGTTTTTCTGGAACTCTCTTGCTTTTTCGATGATCCAGTGGATGTTGGCAATTTGATCTCTGCTTCTTCTGCCTTTTCTAAAACCAGCTTGAACATCTGGAAATTCACGGTTCATGTATTGCTGAAGCCTGGCTTGGAGAATTTTGAGCATTATTTTACTAGCGTGTGAGATGAGTGCAGTTGTGCAGTAGTTTGAGCATTCTTTCACATTGCCTTTCTCAGGGATGGGAATGAAAACTGACCTTTTCCAGTCCTGTGGCCACTGCTGAGTTTTCCAAATTTGCTGGCATATTGAGTGTGGCACTTTCACAGCATCATCTTTTAGGATATGGAATAGCTCAACTGGAATTCCATCATCTCCACTAGCTTTGTTTGTAGTGATGCTTCCTAAGGCCCACTTGACTTCACATTCCAGGATGTCTGGCTCTGGGTGAGTGGTCACACTGTTGTGATTATCTGGGTAAAGAGCCCAAACCAGATGTCATCAAGACAGTGTATAAGTGCTGTATTGAGGGATTTCCAGGTGGCTCCGTGATAGAAATCCTTGTGCAATGCAGGAGATGTAGGTTGGATCCCTGGGCCAGGCAGATGCCCTGAAGAAGGAAATTGCAACCCAGTCCAATATTCTTGCCTGGAGAATTCCATGGACAGAGGAGCCTGGCAGGCTACAGTCCATGGGGGTTACAAAAGAATACATCTGACAAAGTGGCTCTGTTACGGGAACCGCTTGGCTCCCAGAAGGAAGGAGGGCTGTTTCATGTTCTCTCTTTTCCCTTGTCTCATGGTCAAGCCATTCAGCTTCAAAAGTAGGAGCTTCCCTAAAACTAGAGCTCTCGAGTCAGGAGTCATTACATTTCTCTAAATAAGCTCATAAAGTTAGTCCTGTAAAGGCTTCTATGAACTTTTTGGATCCTCTAGATAATCTCGACCACGACTCTGCCGAGACTGAGGCAGCCCCTCCTAGAAGGGTGCCCTGATTTTCAGCCTGTTCGGTTGGGAGCCCCAGATACAGGGGCAAAGTAAGAGGACAGGAGGCAGCTGAAGTTTTTACACCCAAGTCTGCACCCTTAGGACACAAGTCTGGCATGTCTCACAGAGCACCACATAGGGCACTTCTGCCCATTTCTCTTGTTTTCTACAGAACTGGTCTAGTTGTAAAACAGTATCATAATTAAGACCCTTGAACTGGCCAGTGTCCCCCATCTTCCAAAGGATACTGTGGCCATTCAGTATCACAGAAGAAGATCAGGCATGTGTTTTTCAATTCTGGGGATCAAACTTGTCCCTGTTTTTTAAAATACATTTTAGGGACTTCCCTGATGGTCCAGTGGCTAAGACACTGCGCTCCCAATGCTGGGGGCCTGGGTTTAATCCCTGGTCAGGGAAGTAGACCCCACATGCCACAGCTAAGAGTTCGAAGCCTGCAACAAAGACCAACAAAGACAAATAATATTAAAAAAAAAAAATACATTTTAAAGGAGTGGTTCTAGAACTGTTAGCTCCCATCTGTAAGAAAGAAAAAAAGTGGCATCCACAGGCATGGCTTCTGTCCACCGCAGGCGTCCCTCCCTGCTCTAGATGGGGGTGTA